AGCTGGACAATTACAGTATAGTGCCTTAAATTCTGAGGGAAAATTATTTCACCTTGGAAATCTATACCCAGACCAGCCAAGTTATTAACCAGGTTATCAGGGTAGAAAAGATATTTTCAGCAATTCCAACATCTCAAAAATTTCACCTTTCTTGAAAGTTACGTGAGAGATGCCCTTCACCAAAACAATGATGTCAGGCAAGCAAGAAGGCGTGGATGCAGGTGCGTAGGGAAAGGCGGAGACCACTCTCAAATCATGGAGGAGGGAAGTCAGAAGCTAAAGCTGTGCAGCAGAAGCAGAGGGCCACAGTACAAAGGTGAGCAAAAGGATAGAAAGCCCTAGAATTTTTCCAATTTTTAAAAATACCAAACCTGATGTGTTTGAACATATTGAGACAGTTGCTAGGAAAAAAATGAGAGGCAAATAGGAAGCTAAGCAAAAAACAAAAGATTTTAACTCCAAGAAATACAATCATAGTACACTACAAGGTTCAGTGATGAATATACTCAAAGGCATAACAATGTAAACAATGAGCACTGATTTAACCAAAAGCATGATATAACTATAGTGGGAGAGGAATTTCAACATGGCATAAGAATCCTAAAGCATAGACTCATTTACCACAGTAGAAAGCCAATGAATAATATCTAAGATTAAAAAACAAGAAATACTTTAAAATATGGAAGTACACATCAGAAGAGACAGCTAAAAGTATTAAAAATGGTTACTCTGATGACAGGATCTGGGAGGGAAAGTTATACTAACATGAGGCAAGGGATTGGTGTTTTCATTATAAGTCCTGTAATACTATTTTCTTTTTAACTGCACAGTTGTATTATTTAAAGTAAAAAAAAGTTTTTTTTAAACAAGCAAAAGTGGTTTTCATTTCATTTAATACCAAATAATTCACTCACCCCACATATATTACCTGGCATTGACTATGTGCCAAGTTCTTTCCTAGGTGCTTGGAATACAACAATGTTCAAAGAAAACTAAGACCCTGCCCTCAGCAAGCTTATATGGAAAGCAGATAATAAACAAAATAAAATATGCTATAATGTCATCTAAATTAATATTGTGAAGAAAGGTAAGGGTAGAATGTGATGGGGATGCTACTTAGGGAGTGTTTTCAGAGAGCGCTTTCTAAGAATAAGCAAAAAGGAAATGAACATAAAAAGGAAATTTATTTTGAGAAAAGGTCATGTAAGCAAAATAACAGAAGGGTATCAATTAAGTTCAAGGCAAGATCTTCATTTTAAGCCTCTCCCACTGCAAAGCAATGTATCATTCCAGAGCCAGTATTGTCTCGTTAGTGCCAGGTACCCTCAACCTAAGTCATATGAACACTGCTATTTATACTCTTCCTATATACCTAACTAGCCATTACTTATTAAAGGAACTGGTTAAATTTATACCAAACTTTTTTTCTTCCCATAGAATAGGTAGGTGTCACACATTTCAAATTCCAGTGTTTTATTCCTACTATATAGCTTAAACTTTTCCTAAATCAGAAGCTCAAGACATTAGTCAATGAAGACTCCAGATTAATTCCAGGTTACCAAAATTTATCACATCCAATCTTCATTCCCAAACTAAAGAGGAATTCTAAATCAAGGGGAGTTAAGACACATTTAAAGAAACAACTTACAAAGGTAATAGAATACATTCATTTTCCTCTCCAAGGAACCTCACTCAGGCTGAGGTAAAGTTTCAGCTATTTGAGTTATCTTTTTATTGAAAACTAAGTAACTAAAAAAATGTAGTACTCAGATTGAAGGGACAATTTTATTCCAAGTACAGCTGTTACACAATAAAACCTCATATTCAAAACATAAAATTGATTTTGATATATCTTATTCTCAAAACACATCACTAAAAATAAATCCAAACTGTCCAATACTCTTAAGATTTTAATTAGATTTTAGAGTTTAACTTGCAGAAAGAAAACATTCAATTAATTTTCAATTGATAGTTGGGTTTAAAACTTAAACGCTATTTAGATATTTCTGGAAAAGTAGACCAGTAGCTATACTGTATGCTGAACTGTACATGTTAATGCTCTCCCCACCAAGCTCTACACCTTGTTGAGTGGTTGGGTGTGCTTAAGATCTCCATTTCCTCATCTAAAATGGAGATAATATAGCTTAGATAGGTTTAATGTGAATTATTAGCAGTCCTGTCAATGAGAAGTACCAAAATATTTATGTATCAATAATATATATATATATTTTTAAAGCTCTGTAATCTTCAAAGAACTACAGTAATCAATATTTGTTATACTTTATTCAAAAACAAAAACAAAAAAACAAAACCTCACTTTTCAGTCAAACTTTTCTGGTGTTAGCAACAATGGTTATCAGATTCTATGGAAGTACAGTGTGGACACAGCCAGAAGATAACTTTTTTTTAAACTTAGATTTTTAAAAAATAGGCTCCCTTATAAAGAAGTGCCAAAATAAAGTATTTTTAGCAAGCATTTCTTCATTTTAACTCTATAAACCAAAAGAACAAAGCTGTTTAACCACATGTAAGCTATGCATCATATGACTCAGGTAGAATGTTTATTTCTGGTACACTTAGGAACCAGATACCCAATGTATATAAACAACATATTTTAAAAATAACTGTCTTAGAGCTTTTGTTCACTCAATAATAACTGCCATTATTCTTAGCAGAAAAAATACAATATCCTTCACCAAAAAACTCATGAGAGGCGTTTTTACTTATTCTACTTGTAAACTAACATTAAACAATGTTATCTGACAATTAAGTGGGAGGCTATTTGCCCACTTATCCTTTATCACTTTACCTCAGGGCTTTTTCTGTGTAACCCCAACATCTAGTCAACTTGCACTAAGTAGGTACCCAATAAATATGTCCAGAATGAATGAATGAAGTGGACCTCTGGACAAAAGCTGAAGTGTTTTAAATTGCAACAGTAGAATTTCACCTATATATCCCTCAGTCACTACAAACTACTACTGTCTCAACTGTTAATGACATGATAAACTGAGAAAGACATGAACAAAGTACTTAAACACACACGCAAATACATTTCTCACATGTGTAACAGACGTACAAAGTAAAAGATTCACAAAGCCAGTTTTTTAGTTACATTCTCTCTCAGGAAATAGTGGTGTGTTCTTTCTGTTATTAAAAATATATATCAGAAAAGCATGCTGCAGTCTTGATAATGCAAGCACTATCTTTAAAGTTCTATTGCAAGCGGGAATAATTTAGCAAAGTGAACAGTATCTCCAGAGACTCACCCAGAGTATTTTGAAAAGTCAAGTTCCTTAATTCAATGAAAGGTGGAATACAATGGAAAAAAGGTAGATCTTGCCATTTCAAAATTATTATACTGAATTAAAAAATAAACTGTTTAAAATAAGTTACCTTGAAATTATTTATTCAAAAAGGCATCTTAATGTACTTACATTTGCTCTTTAAGCTAGTAAGACATTTTCCAAATCTTTGAATCTAGATGGTAAAAGTAATGCCTACAAAGCTTGAGTCAGGAATTATTTTTATTAAAGTAATGCTGTTTGGATAAGTTCCTTCACAATTCTAAAGTCTATAGTAAGATATTCAGCAGTAACAGTAATTACCTTTATTTATGATTCTACAGCACTTGTATAAGCGTAATTATTTGGGTGGGACAGGCTTTATGACAGGCAAGCTATAATTTGTGACTGCAATATACTGAGTGCATGGATAGAAAATTTTCCTAAAATTCTAATGGTCATCTTCAAAGAGACTTTACAAGAGTCGATTTGATGAATACAGAACACCAAAATCAACTCAACACTCACGAAAACAAGGCTCTCTATAGTAACCATAGCGTTGAAATAAAGGAATACAGGGCACATAAAAGATAAAGCCCAATTAATTATTGCCTGTATTTCCTACTTTGCGGTCTCAAGCACTAGACATTTGATTATTCTTTTTAGCGCTTTCTTAAAATATAAATTTAGTGTTTCAACTGCCCTTCCTCCACAGCTAACATCAGCGCCCTTTCTTCCTCCGCCCTCACCCCTCCCGTTCAAACAAATTAACATTTGTGCTAAGGTACCTCCTATCAGCTCGCAGCTTCTTCCCAAACACGCCCACGTACACTGAAACTGGCCTGCGTCTACACAACACACAGCTACAGGAAAAGAGCTTCGAGGGGGGCAGGTGGGGGATAATTCAGCTCGCACTGGTTTTACGTCTATTTTCGAGATACTAGCTCTGCTCTCGCGGCTCGGGTTTCTCCCAGATCACCTCCAAAGCATGGCGTTTATGAGCCTACCTAATCCGATACTGCAATGGCATTCCCGGTATTTGGGGACAGATATCCCGGCTTTGCAAGTGTTTGATGAGATCCGTCCGGAATCTCTCCCTTTCTCAATACGCCGGCTACCGGCGGTACAGCACCCCAACCCCGGGAGGCGCCCGGGCCCCGCGCTCCGCCGCGCGCCCGGCCCGAGGCCAGCGAGGGACCGGCACCTTCGAGTGCGGGGCTGGCGGGCGACTGGGCTGCGGGCCGCTCCGCAACAGGTCACCGGCCGCGAGTGCGCGGGCCCGCAGGCGCCCAGGCTCCAGGGGCGCAGCCGCCAGGCCAGAGAGGGGGTGTGGCCGGCTCGGCGGGCCCGGCTCCCGCTCACCTGCGGAGGCTGAGGCGCTGCCGCGGTCGGGGCAGTGCGGGCGGCGGCCGGGGATTCCCGCCACCCGGGGGCAGAGCCAGGCGGGCTGGGGGGTCGCCGCGCCCAGGCCTGGGGACAGGGGCCCGGAGCAGGGGCCCCAAGGCCGCCTCCGACTCCGCGAGCTAGCCGCCAAGGCGCCCTCCGCCCGAGCCCCGCAGTAGCCTCCCCGCGCCGAGGGCGAGCGGCCCAGGGACCGCAGCGCCGGAGCCGCCGCCATTCCCCGCGCCGCCGCCGCCCGGGGGGCGCCGCACACCCACCTCCCCTCCCCCGCACCGCCCACCAGGCTCCGCGCCCGGCCGCGGCAAGAGCACCGACCTGTGCCGCCGCGGCTGGTGCCCGGGAGGATGAAACGACCACGCCGGCCTCACGCTCCGCCGCCGCCGCCGCCCGGGCTCAGCTCGGCTGCCGGAGCAGTCGGCGCCTCTCATTCAGCGGCCGCCGCCGTCGCCGCCGCCGGAGGGAGGGAAGGGAGCCGGTTCCACCCCGTGCGCGCCGGGGGTGGGGAGGACAGCGGGCCTGGCCCGGGCGCGCGCCGAGCGGGCGGGGCGGAGCCGCGCGCGCGCGCACCACCGAGCGCGCTCCCGCGGGCCCCAGCGCAGCGGCCGGCGGGGTCTTCCCCGCGCGCGCCCCCGCCCGCCGCTGCTCCGCCCCGCTAAGCCCAACCGCCGTCCGGGGCCGCTGCCCGAGCCTCGCGCCGCCAGCCGCCGCTCCCCGGTCTTGCGCCTGCTAGCGGGAGGGCCCGCTACCGGCTGGGCGAGGGGCGGAGAAAGGTGGAGGGTAGACAGGTGGGCACCCGCCCCGCCCTTCGCCTCCTCCCCGCACCCGGCCCCGCGCACGGTGTCTCGCCTTCAACTCCTGCCCCTCGCTGTTACGGCCGGAGAGTTAAGTCTGGAAACACTTGGCCCCCAGATCAAACATCCTGTCCGAGCTAGCGGGCTTTTTAGAAGTCGCTGCAGACAGGTGAGGGGGTTCCAAATGCGAAGACCCACACCCCACTGCCATAGAATCGTAAATTATGGTGATCAATAAGCTAATACATTGACACTCGGGAAATGTTAGAAGCAGGCCTTTGTAAGTATTAGGCAGGGTGCTTAACAAGCACATGACAGAAATTTGGCATCCCCTGGGTCTCAGAATGATGACTTCCAGGTGAACAGCATTTTCTCGTCAATGCACGAACAAGATTCAGAAATACTAAATCTTTCCTGTGAATGACAAAGGAATGGATTTAGTATAAATGATGGAAGGGTGTTGTTTCCGAGGGTGCACTCTCCGGGTGGCCTACTTAAAATTAGAACCATTTGATGCAGTACGACTCTAAATGGAAGGTTTTAGGTGAGCTACCTTTGTACATGCTGTCATTAGACCATTTGGAAATGGGTGGTTATTTCTGATGATCTGCAGCTCTTCCTCTAGGCAATGTGCAAGTAATGCTGTGTACTAGCATTGGGCATAAACCATGATAGGGCCAAAATTGTTCCTATTTGGTTTCTTTCTTCCATTTAATACCACTCAACAGAACTTATTAATCATTGTATAGTGTATATTAAAGAATACTCATTTATTTCCTCCTTTGACCTACCTTGTGTTATAGCCCTTTAGTTAGGGAAGCTAGAAGGCCCTTCAACGCCCTTCTTTCAAATAGGATTACTTCTTTTTTAAAACCCTCCCTCCAATCCTACACCAAAAGTTAAGTTAAAAAAAAAAGAAAACAAGGAGAGGCAAAGTTCACGGTTTTTTATTTTTATTCCATTTTACTTTCAAAGAAAGTCTTGAATCAGGATGAAATCACTAGGAGAAATAGAGAAACCAAAAAAAAAAAAAAAGAAAAAACAAACAACTTTCTCATGAAAATAGATTTAAGAAAAAGAAAACAGACTATTGGTAAAAAAGGAGGAAATGTATTATGTATACAGGAAGTTTTCCCATAGATGTGTTAATTGCTTCAAGTCCCAAAGAAACAACAGGCAAACAGAATTAGCACTTGGAGGAAAAATCCTTCTAGCTATCAAGTTGGGTAAATGTTTACTCTTTTTAAGTGTTAGTAAGAGATTAAGGAGAGGGTGGTTGACTGTGGGCCAACAATAATACATACAACAATTATATGTATATTTGGACATTATAAATATACTGGGATAAATATACATACATATGCATCACCACTCTTAAGAAATAGGAAAACAGGAACAACGGAATTTTTTTGTATAAATGTCTTGCTATTACTTTAAACGGGAATTAGGGTTTCATAAAAAATGAGGCTGTTTTCCTACATCTGCAATAATTTTCACAGTTTAAGACTAGGAAAGTTTTCATTTGGACTCTGAAGAGAAAAAGCCATATGATTTATGAAGCTAGACCATGTATATACTAAATTCTTATACATACTGAATTTATGAGTTCAAAATATTACTCAAAACTTATTTCTCACGTTGATAACCTGTAAAATAATACTTTTATTATCCTTTAGAGTTGTGTGAAGTTCAGATTTGTGAAATTGGTAAGATGAAGAATTTGTATACAAAAATTCAGAAAAAAGTTCATTCTCAATGGTTTTTTTTTTCTGTCATGGCTTGGAAATTATTTTAGAAAGATTAATGTCCCTTCCCAATCATTGATTTGCAAACGGAAACAAATGGCTTTTTACATTTAAAGAGGACCAGCAGCAAATTTTTTTTACCAGAGCATCTTCTATCACAGTTAAAGTCTGTGAATTACTTTATGTATCTTTTTGTCAAAAGACAAGAAATAGGCAAAGTGTTAGCATAAAAAGCACTAATGTATAAAATAGAAATGCCATTATATAAAACAGAAATCAATCAATTCAATATGCTTAAAAGTCTTTTCAGAGGAATCACCATTATGTAACAGTTTTATTACTATCCATCAAAATTATTTTCAAGGGGTAAGCCAAGAAACTAATTTAGATATAGAGCAAGCAGTCTGAAAGACAAGAGACCACTGCTGCAAAAGCCGAATCAACAACTTATCCCATTACAGCAGTCCAAACAAAATCAAACTGGCAAGAAAGCTTATTATTTCAGTAACACCTCATTCTATTACAACCAACAAAATTTCAGTAATAACATATACTTCTATTATTTCTCTAACTTTCTATCTCTTTTTTCAAATATGTGTATTGACTGGATGTTATTTAAATATTTGTCAGTTATGTTGTGTTCTATTTTAAAATAGGCAAAGTAGCAAACCCAAAATTCACTTTGAGGAGAAGGATGCATAGGAGGCTTTGAAGAGATAGGCATTCTTCAGAAAACTGACACCAAGTACAAGGAGCTCCTGCCACAATTCCCAGTCAAGAGAGACATGCCACAGATACTCAGATACCAAGAACAAAGATTACCGGTCCATTCAAATATAAGCACCAACTTTCAAAAGGCATAAAGGCCTTAACTTATGATTGAGCTGTTCCTCACAGAACAACTCTATGCCGAGTATGGATCAGGAGGGATGTAATTTAATGATGGTTAATGTTTCCCTGGAACAACTGTCGGGGAGACCAGCTGGTATATAAATAAGTGTTTGCATGAGCTAAGCATTTTCAATGTGAATATTAAAGACAATTTCAGTAATACCTCATTTATCTGACAGGATAGGAAAAGGGGCAGTGAGGGATCAAACATAATAGGATATTTGAGATAACTGAAGTTTTCATCTTTAGGAGCGAGAAACAGTTTAAACCACTTGTGTCAGTTTTTTTCTGACGTATCATCAGTTTCTCATAAAACACAGCACAGCTTAACCTAGTCCTAATGACCCAGAGGCATCTTAAAAACGAAAACTATAATACCAAGATGTCCACAAGAGCTTAGAAGTACTTAGTACCCTTCACCATACAATAAAAAACCATGGCCTACTATGTTCCTGCATTCCTCTGAGTCTAGTTGATCTGGATGGTACTTATTGATGCTGCTGTCCCTCCTTGTTGCTGCACCTCTGCTATAACATTTCCTCCCTGCACATATTCACACATATGCCTCCCTTTGAATTGTCTCATCAAGTTAGCCTGGGAAATAAATAACCAATATTTCAAAAATACATGTATAAATATAACAGTAAAAGGCCTCTGAAAATACTGAAACAGCTCTAATATTTAGGGCATCTAGTATAAAGGCCATTTACCAACTTTCATAATTTCCTCTGTATGTTGGATAACTGACCTTACCAGGTAAGTAATTATTGTATTCTACTTCCTTTATAAAAATTTTAGACATTGCTCTTCATATTTAATGAAAGGTGAGGATCTTTGTCAATAATGTTCATCACTGTAGTTTTCTTATGTATCCTGCATTCAAAATAAGGTTAGAAATTTTTAAAACATAGGAATTCATAAATCCATTATGGTAGTAAATAGATAAAATAAATGGGGAAGAAGGGAGCACTCTTGCTTATGGTAGAATGTGGAAGGCCAGTAGGGAAATGTGGAGGGACTGCTGGAGTTGGACAATCATCATTTTGCAACCATTGTGGCCAAGATTGAGAAAGAGAGTAACCATCAATGGATGCTAAATGGAGGAAGAAATTTTGATGAGCAGGATATTTACTTCATCTTTGAATTCTTCCCATAGACTTCCTATTAAGTTGCAAGGAAGGAAGAACCGTAATTATACTGCCGAAACTGGACAAAACCTTGATGAGGTAATCACAATGAACATCACAAATAAGACAGGTGAACATTGTCTTATGCCAAAGATGATTCCCAGAGGACACAGCGTCTGATGAGGAAATGAGGACTCTAATGAGGAAATCTCAGATACATTTACTGTTTACTTTTTTAATGGGGTGTGGCAGGGTTGGGGGAGACTGGAGGCATGGAAGGGGTATTCTTCAAAGCTGTCAATAAAAGACAAAGGCTGTGAAAATATTACAGTTGAAGAGCCATGACAACTAAATTCAGTATGAGATACTAGATTGGAGGGGAAAAAAATTTCGATAAAGCCATTTATTGGGTTAGCTGGAAAACAGATGGTAGATTGATTAAAGTATCAATGCTAAAAGCACTGGAATTGCTAACTATACTGTAGTTGTGTCCCTAAACACTGCAGTATTTAGGAGTAAAGGGCTAGGATGTATGTGTGGTTGAGAAATATATATATTTAGAGAGAGAGAGAAGAAAAAACAAAAGTAATGAAATAAATGTTAAATAAGGTAGAATAAATGTTAATGTTATTGTTAAATAATATTTAACAACTGGGATGTATGTGTGGTTGAGAAATACATATAAACAGGAAGAGAGAAGAGAAAACAAAAGTAATAAATGTTAAATAATTAGAATAAATGTTAATGTTAAACGTTAAATAATCTTTAACATTTCCTTAATGTTAAAATAAGGTAAAATGTTAACAACAGGTGACCAGTCTGGGTGAAGGGTGTTTGGATGTTCCTTGCAACTTTTCTATAAATTTTAAGTTACTTCCAAATAAAAGGCCTTTTTTTTTTTTAAAGTTAGAATGTCAAAAAGAGCAGCAGCAACTGGCATTACATGGACAACATCATAATTATTTTAAATGACCC